TACTCCTACTTACGTTAGTTACGTTACTTATATAAGTAAGTAAGTAGAGTAGGTGGTAGGACGTACGTACGTACGTACGTACGTCGCCGCACTCTCTCTCTCTCTCTCTCTCTCTCTCTCTCTCTCTCTCTCTCTCTCACACACACACACACACACACACACACACACGTGCGCGCGCGCACACACACACACACACACACAGATATATATAAACAAGTATCTACTCCCCACCACATTAAATTTGGCAAACTAATGCATCTAGTACATACTAATGAGCTTGGCGTTTCAATCCTTAGAGAAACCCTTAACATATCTACGATCCAGTCCTAAAAAGAATATGTAGCAAACCTCATTAAGATATCATGTGATGATGAAGTAAGTAACCCCATGGAAACATTTTTGATGGGAATAAAAATGTGATAGGAATTGTCTATCATTCTTTTTTTGTTGGGCAGATGTGGGTGTCATACAAGGAAATCCCAAGGGGTCAACATCTTGCATTATTTAGCAAGCACTTCTAAGTGGAGGTTTACGCACTTTCAATATCTTGGGTCGATAATCCAAAAACATGGAGAGATTGAGGAAGATGTTTACACCAGTGTTTTAAAATGCTACCGCATCGCCACATATGCGGTGGCATCATGCGGGATGCGCTCGCATCCGCATCAGAAACAGGCGTATATGCGCTTTTGATAGATGCGGGCACATATGCGCCGCATCGTAGCCGCATCCCGCATAGGCCGCATCGCACCGCTTCCCAATGCTACAGTGTCTGCCAAAATGTTTTTCTGTTTTGCCCCTCGGGGAGGGGGAAAATGGCCTTTTTGACCAACCAAATGTTAGGTAAACTGTTTGGGGGGGTATTAGGGTGAAGATTTTCAGCCACTTCTGTGGCTTTTTTTGCATCAAATCGAGCTAAAAAAAAAATTTAGGCGGAATTTTTTTTTCATCGAAATCTTCAATTTGGCAGTTGTTTGATACTTGGATGTTCATTGGATGCCTTCGATTGTTGATTTGGAGATGTTAGGGTGAATTTGTGATAAGCAATCGGGGGTTTCAGAGGTCGTGAAGAAATCGAGCAGTTCTTCACAGAGTCGGTAAATTTTTTTTCCTTCTTGTAAAATATTACTATTATACATATTTTTGGGGAATGTCTTCTTCCCAATCTTCTAGTGATAAGGATCCGGCTTGAAAATATGCTAAACTAAAAAATTCCAAAGATAGAAATTGTGTGATATGTTTGCTCTGTGGAAATACTTATATGGGTAGATAGCTCGATACAGAATCTCCGACAGCTAATAGTTTTGAAGTTAATCATTAAACTTAATACCTACTATCACATATATCACCTTCATATTTTTTTCTATGCAATAACTTATTTTTTTAGATTTTTTAGAATTGTTTTACATTTATTGACCGCATCATCGCGATGCACCCACATTCGGGTCGCATCGAGTTGTGTCACCGCATCGGTCCCCCCACCGCTTCAGGGCCGCACCGCGCATTTTAAAACATTGTGTTGCACATAGAATTAGAGCTGGGTGAGCAAAGTGGAGATGTACAACCAAAGTTAGAGATGTACAACCAAAGTTTTATGTGGTTGCCACATACCAAAGAAGCTGAAGGGCAAGTTCTATAGGACAGTTGTGAGACCAACTTTGCTTTATGGCACGGAATGTTGGGCAGTCAAGAAACAACATACCCATAGAATGAGTGTAGCTAAGATGAGGATGCTAAGATGGATGAGTGGCCCTTAATCGAGTAGAATGACGAACCAGGATTCGTGTAGCCGACCCCAATTAGTTGGGAAAAGGGATGATGATCTTTAATTGGAGGCTTAATGGGATGTGACCCTAGGTGTCCATTAACCTCACGACTTTCAAAGATTCATTGTGAATCCATAATGCTGATGATATACATTGTATACAATGTAAAACGGCGGTAAAAACCATTTTTAGGTTTATGAACAAAGCTATAAGTAAATACATAAGGCACACTAACAAAATAAATTATTACTAAAAATATCTCAATGAAATAAAGTTTGTAAAAGAAATACTGATAGACAAATGTATCCTAAAGAAGGGAACAAAGAAACACAATATTCAAGAATCAAACAAGTACTCATCACAAGGAAAGAATCTACAATCCTCAATAGTATTGAAAGCGCGATAACGAAAGATATACATACCCAAATACCTTTGTGAACTTCAGGAAACAGAAAGAAACCTATATTGCAAAACTTTCTTATTAATTCAAATATACACACCTCTTCTGCAAGAAGCAAGCTTGTGCACTCATTATCACTAGGCAAGAAATCACCATATAATTGCCAAAAATTATCTTCACAATCAAATGCAAACAAAAGAAGGCAAGCTAATCTGAGGTCCCAATCTGTCTGAAGCAATAAAAGAATGTTAATTAGACATATACATGTAAGAAGAAAAAATTATTATTACAAGATCATAGTTTGATATAACAAGGAGGCATTTATGAATGAAGAGATTTCAATCCATAATGACATCAATTTATTTTAAGCAAATAGTATTGATTTATGTTATATACATATTGTTGGGTTTTGTGCTCTTTAAAGGCCTAGAGAGCTTGTAAAAATGATATTTTGTAGTAGAATATGCACTTCAATGGGAGTGTGTGCGTTGACTGACCAAGAGTTGGGTGGTTTATGACCCTGGTCATGTCCAAAACCATTATCCCTGGGCATGTGGCACTACCGATAAAGGCTTACGGTGGGCCATCCCTTGTTGAGGTCGGAGAGATGCCCCGAGATGATGTTTGTAGGCCAAGAGAACTATGTGGCCTCCTGTGTGCGGTTATAGGCCTGTGAGAGCAAGAACCAAAGCCTCAACAAACTTCCGAATAGCATGTACAAATGATAACCGCATTACTGGGAAAAACAGAGGGACACGCATACATGTGCATAGAGAGAGCCATCTTTGTAATGTGGTGACAAGTGCTAGATTTGCTCTTAAAAGGAGCAACTGAAAATCCACATTTCGGGATCATGGTCCCATTGTTCATTGCCCAACTTTGACAAGCCAATCATGAACCCTTGAAATGAGACAGTGGGTCATATGTCTTTGTTGGGTTGGATTAGAAAACAATTGTGGATCATGGTTGCTAGGGCGAGTGGAATGCCCTTATTGTCATTAATTTTGACTCATTAGTACCAGTCCACTACAAGTATATTTTATTTTGGTCTTATAAATGGTTTTATGATTCTTTAAATTTTTCATACTTTTAAAATATTATTTCTTCTGTAATATTCATTAAAAAGGTATTTCTGAAATTTTCAAAACTTGATAAGGCACATGTGGGGACCAAGGATCCAGCCCCCAGATGTGTATGCCACCCATGCGGGGCCTACATTACCCCCTAAGGAGGTACGCCACTTTTTTTTAGAAAAAGGGGCATGCCACAATTTTAGCAAAAAAGTGGCACGTCATTTTTATTTTGAGAAAGGGGAGCATGCTCCATTTCTTAAAATTAGTTTCAAATTTCAAATTAACTTAAAGATAGGAAATCTTTTAATTTTAAATAAGATTTGATTTCCTATTCTAATGGGACTTCTAAAATAAAGATTATTCTTATTCTCAAAAAAAAAAGAATATACATATATATATAGAGAGAGAGAGAGAGAAAGATTATCCTTGATTGTGAGAGATCTAGATTATGATAAGATTAATTATATTTCAAATTTAAATAGGAGTTGGACTTGGGTCAAAATATAAAGGGATAAACTTCTTATTTTCTACCCAAAATCATGATGGCTGATTTGTGGGATAGATGGATCGCTCTCACCCCACAGATTTCCTAATTATTTTAAAGGTCAAGATGGAAATTGGATAAAACATACTTAGATTGGAATCCTATTCAAATTATGAGATAGATTTCATTCTATTTAAATACCTATTTGAATGTCTTTCAAATCATAACAAAATATTCTCTCCCATGCAAAGAATCCTCTCTCTCATACCCAAGTTTTCTCTCTCCATCACGTCTCTTTCTCTTTTCTCCACACCACTATTTTCTCTCTCAAGAAAAAAATTGAAGTTGTCTGCCTCCTCTCCCTTTACCCATAGGGAGGCACGCCACCCTCTCTATCATCTTATTTTGAGAAAATTCTAAGAAAAAAAGGAAAGGTAGGACTTTTCAAACCCTAATGAGGTTTGCTGATTTTTTAAGAAGAAGAGAAGTACAGCCAGCCAAGCGAGAAATAAACATTCAAGCTTTACCTTGGTATGTTCTTATAGGGTTTATATAAAACCTAGTTGAATTTTTTAGCTCTTTAAAACCTAGAGAAAGAAGTATTGCCTAAATATTTTTGAGCTCTCTAAAACCTAGAGAAATAAGTATTGCCTAAATAGCTTCCTATATCAGAATTTCCAGCAACTTCTAAGGGAGTAAAAGTGTGTCATCGGTCAGGGAATCAGGTGTGGGGTTTACCAAAACTTGTGAGGGTAACTCCAGACATCTTCCAGTAAGTATTCCCAGTAGTTTTAATTACTTTTCAATATCATTTCTGATTTTCTGTAAATTTCCAAGAACTTGTATTGTATTAAAAATTATAGTGAAAGTTTGTTTAAAACTCCTGGATAGTTTCTATTTCTTTTAGCAGTGAAAATAAATTGTATCTAAGTATTATTTTCATTTACTTAGTGGCCCATATAAGTGAAATTCAGGTATATTGAATAAAAGAAAAATAATTTTTTTTAATTTAGTACCTTTGAGCTCCACATAGCCACTCCTTTCACATATGTGTGTGTATGTATTCATGCTTTATATGTTGAGAAAAAACAAATAAAACTTAGGCTATCATAAAATGTTAAAGTGACCATGCGGCAAACCAACCAAAGGGAGGTACTTTTGAATAAGAAATTAATAAGGTCAGTCATCAGTAGAGAAAAATTACAATTTATGCATAGAGTCAATTGGCAGAGTGGCTTGTTGAAATTCAGATGAGACTAAATGAATTGTGTAGGTGAAAAAGGGTGAATAAGCAGAGTCTTGCAGATTTATAATATTGAAATAATCATACAGTTGTAAAAATATATATATTGTCCTAGCCACTTTTTTTCCTTTTTTAACAAGGAAAAACTACCTACGTGTAGGGTTGTCCATTTCTACAGAGTAGATGGAAGCCCCAAAAACCACTTATAAGAGGATTTATAGAACCCAGAATTTTGCAACAAATATGGATTCATGTTGTGATAAATCTTTAAAAATTTCATTTTGAGCTACCCAGAATTTTGCAACATAGATGGATTCATGTTGTGATGAATCTTTAAAAATTTTATTTTGACATGTTAAAATTGTAAATGGCATCATCCCACCTCTGGATGGTCCAAAGCTGCAGTTCCAAAAGGAGCTGCCATCCAAAAAATTGAAGGCATTCGGGGCTTCCATCAAGATGGTAGAAACGGACGGCTATCTCCATATGAAGTTCCTCCTTTTAACAAAAACAAGCAAGGAATTTTTTCTATAAGGTATTCCCTCGCAGAGCAAAAAATAAGAACAAAGAGAGGAGATGAATTGATCATGAGGAAACTGTTCATTCAACAACTATTAAATGCTTGAAGAAGTAAATAAGTTTACCCCATTGATGTCTAAATGGGATGCATATAGCCTCCGTGTTAGCAAATGAAATATCTAAGTATAAAAAATACCATTTATGCTTTGTGCGTAACATGAAGTGGGGCATCGGACCTACTGCCAACTCGAGGAGGTCGACAAAGCCAGAGTTAAATTCTTCAGGAAGCTTTTCTCTGCTAAGGTCACCCCTCAACCTACCATGGATGATCTTTCCCTCCTCCTCCCCCAAGAGAAGGCAGAGTTGCTAGAGGAACCATTTTCAGAGGAAGAAATCTTCAAACCTATTAGAGACCCCACTCAAGACAGAGCAATGGGGCCTGATGGCTTCCTAGTAGCCATATTCAGTATCTTTTGGGACACCATGAAACAAGAGATCCTAGCTTTTTTCGAAATATTCTACAAGAGAGGTAGACTCCATAAAGCCATGAATGCCAACTTTCTAGCCTTAGTTCCCAAAGTAGAGGGTGCTGAAGACATCAAAGACTTCAGACCCATTAGCCTTCTAAATTGCTCGTATAAAATTCTCGCAAAAGCGCATCTCGTCTCAAAGAGGTCCTTAATTTTGTGATCTCTTCCTATCAAGCAGCCCTGATTAAAGATAGGCAGATCCTCGAAGGTGCGTTGGTTGCATATGAATGCATTGACTTTCGCCACCTAGCCAAAATCCAAGGGGTGCGTCGACTGGGCTATTTTAGACAAGGTGATGTCCAAAATGGGATTTGGCCCCAAGTGGAGAACCCAGATCAGACGAAGTCTCTTGGGCCCTTACTTCTTGGTCCTCATCAATGGAGCTCCTAGGGGCTTCTTCCCATCTTGCAGGGATCTGCGCCCAGGATACCCCATCCCCTGTTCCTATTCACCCTTGTTGTCGAAGTCTTCAGTAGGTCCATAGATAAGCTCTACCATTGGTTTCCTAGAAGGCTTCAAAGTTTCAAGCCAAGGGCAATAGATAACTCACCTTCAATACGCCAGCAATACACTCATCTTCTGCGATGCATCACAACAACAGATGAACACCGCGTAGCTTTTCCTAAAATGCCTTGAATTGGCTACTGGCTTCAAGGTAAACTTGCCTGAATCTAAACTCTTGGGTGTAACCTTTGATCACCAAACCACCTTAGCATTGGCAGGTAGACTAGTGTTCAGAATAGATAGCCTCCCTACAGAGTACCTCAGTCTCCTGCTATGTATCGGCAGCCTGCAACAACAGTGGGTTTCCATAGTAGAAAGGTTTGACCTGAAGCTTGTGGCGTTGAAGGCAGATTTCTCTCCCGAGCAGGCCATATCAAACTTATAAAATCCACTCTCTTTAACTTCCCAATCTATAGATGCCCCGCTTTCAAATGCCTGTATCTATAGCGCAAAAGCTGATGAAGGAACTCTTATGGTCTGGCTCAAATGACCGAGGCCACATTCACCAACTTTCTTGGAACACCATAACCTTCCCCAAACAGAGAGTGTGTGTTGGAATTCAGAACCTCAGAAAGTATATCACAGCTCTACTAGGTAAATGGTGATGGAGATTCGCCACTCAACCCAATCACCATTGGCAGATGTCCATCAGGCAAACGTACCTCTTAGATGCCTCGGAATGGCTCCCTCAGTCCATACAACCACCAGATCTTTGGATGCCTGGGACTCCATCTCGAAAAGCCTCACTCATTTTAAGCCCAACATCTAGAATCGGCCGAGGGAAGGTCCACAGGTTGAGTTCTGGTGAGACATAACGTGCTTACAAGATCAACAACCATGACTATTTGGTCTAGCAATTGACCCAGAGGCCACAGTAAGCCATGCTTTCGAGACATTAGGGCAGTCTAGAGTATGGATCGCCATTTTTAGGAGACCACTACAGAGCACAAGCTTACCAACTTCACCGCATTATCGGCCCTCCTCCTACCTGCCTTTGTCGTTACCAGACAAGATTATATGATCCCCCTCAGGTCAGCCTCGGGATGCCTCTCGATTGCCTCCTTTTATGGCCAATTGTCTCAACCCTCCTTTTATGGCCATTTGTCTCAACCCTGCTCTCCCCCCCTTCCAATTTGATTTCGCCAAAAAGGCTTGGCTGAGCCCAATCCCGCCAAAGGTCCAAACATTTTGCTGGCTCACTATCCTCAAAAATGTACTGGCGTTAGATCAGCTAGAAAGAAGAGGTTTACATATCCCAAATAGATGTGCCATGTGCAAATCAGCAGAAGACACAAATTCTCACCTCTCTTACATTGAGGTGGCCAGTTACCTACAGACTGAGCAACTACAACATTCTATCTGGACGTGGGTAACCCCACAGTCAATAACTAAACTTTTTCAGGCCTTTTACATTCTCCCTTACCTGTCAAGAGCTTCCTACCTGTGGCGTGCATCAGTAGCCGTAATCATTTACACAGTGGCTTGAAGGAAATGCAAGAGTGTTTGAGGGTAGGGAGGCCGACCCCGAAACTCTTGTTGATCACACCAAGGCATGAATCGTGATCCTTTGGATACAGCACCACGAAAGCTTCAAAGGCCTGGTGACTACGACTTTCTCAATGGTAGATCAAACCAAGGCATGATCCTTTCGATCAATGTTTTGCAGACCAGACCTGCCCACATTTCTCGCTCCTCACTATGGAGGCTCCCAAAGGTCAAACAGATTAAGCTCAACTTTCACAGTTGCTCCCTTGGAAACTCAGGATCCGTGAGCACTGATGGTCTACTTATAGATCGCAATTCCAACACTCTTCTCTCCTACTCCGGTCAAATCAGCCACGCAGACTCAACTGTGGCCGAAGTGGTTGCACTCCTCTGTGGAATCAAGAAATACAGCCAGGGGTAGGGGGACTTTCTGGTCTTGGAAGGCGACTCAAAGAATTTCACTGCATGGGCTTCAGGTGCCTCCACCTGGCCGGGGCATCTCGAGAGCATCTTTGAGAATATTTTCCATCCATGCAGGGATATTCACATCTCCTTTCAACATACCTAGCGAGAGGCAATTGCTAGAGTGGGTGCGCTTGCAAAAGAGGGAGCTATTTCACGTGTGATCAGCAGAACCTAATCAGCAACGTTTTAAGCACAGTTCCACAGTTTTTGCCTTTTTGTTTTCTTCATTTCTATAGTGTGCTGTAGCAAGCACCAGTTTTGGAATAGTGTGCTTTCTCAAGCACAACTTTTTGTACATGACTAAACGCTGCCCTACCCATTTGGGCCTACATTATACCTAGTAATTTTTGGACATAGTAATGGAAAGAAATCATCAACACTACCCAAGAAACACAAAAAAAAAAGTTACCTCATGATTTGCTGAGTTAATAATATCAAATATAGGATGACCTATCGGCACAATATCTGGAAAGAACATCCATGGAATCTTCTGACTAATAGTTAACATCAGCTCTAGTGGAATTTCCATAATTACCTGGCATTGAACAAAGGATTATGGTATCAAAATAGTCATAACAATAAATATAAAAACTGTAATTTCATAATACAAGACTGATGAAAGGAAATATTAACCAGCCATGATTATAATTTATAAGAGAAAATTGTCATAGGGCAGACAGTGAAATTTCGGCGTTGGGTATCACTTATTCTCCAGCTAGTAAGAGAAAATCAACGAAGAAGAATCAATATAAACCAAGAGTTTGAACACTTAAAAGCATACCCTGGCTCTACGTGTAGGTTCAACATCTCTAGAGGCAAAAACTCCAAACCCATCTGGGCCCTCCTTAAATTCAACACCATATGCACGAACATGGCGGACATAACCAATTTTATAGAAGTCAGGATCAGCTGGTTCCAACTAACAGGAAAAAAAAAAAATGCATGAAATTGTTGTGGTATTAGGCCAATGGGCAAGAAATGCAATCTTTAAAAAAAAAAATATTAAAACTCAAGAGTTCAAATGCATGAATATCTTAATACAAAACCATAATACATATATTCCAACCTACAAACATGGTTTATACACATTTGAATAATAAAAATTCAACCCTAATAGGTCCCTTACAAATCCTTTACTCAAAAATACAATTAAATTCAATACAATATTTAAATACTCGCAATGTACATCTCTACAACATATTACATGACTTGCACTCGCAATTCCTCATTATATCAAAATTATATGATAATTCCATCTTCATTCTTCATCCTCATCATATATCATAATGTCTCATACACATCATACAATTGATCATAATAATCCAATGAGATTTCAATTCACATAAATAATAAAGCATAGCATTAAAGTTCATACCACAAAATTAAAGAACAATCTCAATATTCATATAACATACTCAATTTAACCAATCATGAATTGCTTAATAATTGTAAATAAATCAAATTAACATGCAAACATACATGGGGGAAGCCTTGGTTTGAACCCTTTATGCCCGAGCCACGAAAGGGCCTTTTGAGGGCTTTATTTTGTCCCATTGTCTAAGGCACGGGTGATAATAATAACTCAAGGAGATCAATTCAATGGGAAACAAATGATCACTTTTATTTCATTAATGGAGATCAAATCATAAGAGAGACATGTATCAAAATACCTTCAAAGTTTGAGAGAGATACTACACAAAATAGGGAGTTATGGTAAAACTACACCATGTGGTCCATAACAAACCACACAAATTTTTCAACATTTAAAAAGGAACTCAAGGGACTATTTCATATGCTCAAATACGATGAAATAAACATCTCATCAGTTGTATATTCTCAGTAAAAAATCCAGAAAAATAAGATTAAGAAAATCAAGGTGAAACTACTCGAGATCATGGAATAAGCAAGCTAGTCTACACTTAGCATGGGTGTGAACTACACTATTGCTTTGAGACTCTTCAAATATCAAGTTTTTATGACTAAAATATGAAGAAAGCTACTGTAAATTAAGAATTACAGCAAGCTTTGATAATGGAAATGAGGTAGGAAACGGAATATATGAAGGAAAATCAATACCTTGGTGAAGCAATATTATGAACTTGATCTCACATATGAGGGACTACTCAATCAAAAAGTTTCAACTCAAGGCTTCAAAAATGAAGAACACAAGAATGGGGGTGTTGATCTCAGGAGGGCCATAGTAGCCACATTTTTGTTAAGGGGGCTCTCTCTCTCTTTGAAGTGAAACTCAAAATTAGGGTTATAATTGATCTCATAAGTTACTTGTATACTTAGATCATAAAGGTGGATTTGATCTTGATCCTTGATGCCTTAGATCAATAGCACATGAGAGGCTTTTATCCAAGTCACTCATCCATATCTTATCACCAAGATCAATGGATGAGCTTTTGACACCTTTTACTCCTTAAAACCTAGGTTTATAGTCATTTTACCTTAAAGCCTTTAGTTCCATGTTTCATTTCGCACTAAGTCCAAATTCATGTTTACACTTATGCCCATGGTTTTTGAATAATTTGTGAGAGTCAATAAAAGATAATGACATGGACATAAAGGTAATATGGGGCATCCATACATGTGAATAAAATATCTTATGATTTCAACAACACTAAAGTTTCACATAGCTCAAGGCCATAAGGTGGTGCCACATAAGATATACCCACATGCAACAAAATCATATGTGGATAACAATATAAATCGAATTACTTCTCAAAATCCCATGACTTCACACATACTAAAAATAGCACATGTAAGAAAAAAACATCTGACTTAAATCAAACTTAAGTCATAACAATATATAACACTTTAAATAACAAGCTAACATGTTATAACATAATACCAACAAAAGAATTAATGACAAATGGGTCCCCATGATGTAATCCACGAGTGGGGAAGTGGGGGTGCCACATGGCATCCCTATGGCCACTTGGGATCCATATGGCATCCCCATAAGATGTCCTTTTTTGGTATTTAATTCAAATAAATTTAAAAATCGCATTTTTTATGATTTAAAAATTCTGAAAAAAAATTCAAAAATCCCAAAAATTCTCCAAATAATTTTTCAACATTATTACACAATTTCTCATCAATATAAAATATTTTCTCATCAATTTTAAATTAATTTGAGCCAAAAGTAAATGAGATCTCTATTTCTCAAAAAAAGGGAAATGAGATCTCTAGACTTATAACACTTATTGGAGTCTTCCATTGGGTTAATCCGAATGACGTTTCACCGATGTCTCAAACCAACCCAACAAACCTATGCTCTACAGTCTATGGCAGGGACACATAATTGATCACATCAAAGTCGTTTAGCCAGAGCTTTCCATCACCGAGAGTTCAATGGATTACTAATGCACCCCTGTGAGACATGTTGTTACTCTAATACATGGGTCTTCTCAAAGCACATGTGCACTGGCTCTTCTAAGTTGAATAATACTATAGAAGAGTGACTTCCCCATACAACTGTGGGTGTACATGCTATGGAACAGTTTCATGTCAAGATACAGGCTCATATCTTATGAGCCGATCATTCCATATATGACAAACACTTTTTTAAATACTCGAGTTCTATTACACTCAATTGGATTCTCCAAGCCCTGGCTTATCGCATCAACTATGAGGCATTATAATTAATATAGTCTTGACTCAGAGATGACCCTCACACCTCCCCAAGAGATCACTCTCTCAAAACGCAAGCTCTCAATGCCTCATAAAACTCGGGGTCTATGATTTTGAGCTCCAGTCTAGCTCTCACTGGGCGAAAGTCTCTTGGCTGTAAAGCCTTGAAAGGCCGCATAGCCAACAAAAATAATTAGAAACGTTGATTTCAAGTACAAAAATGAAGCACAAAATGATGAATCTAAAAGATAATTGGCAAGAACTATATTCGAAACATAACAAGAAAATTAAATAAAATGGAAGAAATATATAATATAAAATTAATCGCTTATACTCCGAGTTAAAACAAGCTAAGAATCCAAAAGGGTCTGAGTATATTTCATCCATACTCTTTCAGATACAAAAATATGATGACCCAAATGCATAATTACGTGATTGTTGAACTATTTTTTGCACAAAATCCCATTTTCTAATCCACTCAAAAAATTTCCAGGAATTTTATTATGTCAAAATATGAAATTATGAACCATGAAACGCTTCAAAGTTTTATTAATATAGCTGAAACCAATGGTTTAGAAAACGACTCGGTGCCCCAGATCGAGCACCCCAAAAACCCATCCGAATCGGTGAATCGACGGATCAGATCGGGAATCGACCGAATCGATCGGATTCGGCATTAAAAAAAATCCAAAAAAAATATTTAAAATCATTATAAGTGTTATTTTTTAGGAATCCAATAAGAAATGGGGGTACTATATTATTAAATTTCATTTTTTTGCATCAATATGCGAATATTGAGATGTTCTTTCCCTATATGAACTTCTATTAACAATTAAATTTACATCACACAAAAGAAAAATCATAGAATTATCATGGATGAAGTATATAATCATGCATAGACTACAATAAAGCATACAATTCATAAAATATGACGTAAAACCAAAATGAAAGGCGATGTTGTTCTTCATTTCGGCCACGTTGTTCCCATTCATTGAATTCGTGTGACAATTCATTGACTCGATCTAAGAACAAATCATCTAAATTAGTGGTCACCTAAGTATCTCTGAGTGTTAGTGTTTTGTTGCACTCCTAGTCCAAAATCCCCGAAGCTTGTCTATCCTTCATGCTCACCTATACAATCATGCTCGCCTCTGCCATCTTGTTGTTGGATGCACAGCTTATCTTAGAGAGGATATTACATGACTTTGTATTAAAAGAAAAACTTATCTCATATTTTGATTTATTTGGACAAGTAAAGGGAAAGATGTTCAATTGTCAATGAGATGCAGGCCCCAAAACTTATGGGTCATTAAAAACATGTTCAAATGGATATAATATTGATACCCAATGCTACAACAAGCACATCAAAGAAAAATGAAGATAATTTGATTTATAAAAAGTATGGTGATATTCAATAATATAAGCAGCATGCAACAATTTTAAAGATAAAATAAGAAGACATGCAGGCATCCTTCAAAGAGAACAAATTGTGAGGAAGCCATAAGAACAATATTGGACAGCTATCTAGAGAAAATAAATGCTTCCAATGTCATAGCCAAAAATGAAATATTGTAGTAGAAAATGTAGGTCCCTTCTTTCTTCTGAACACGAAAGTGTTAGCCCAATCAACATAGGGAAATTATTTGGGAATACAAAGAATACCACAAAAGCTACTAACAAAATAAACATTGCAACTTCGTTCTGAAAGCAACGCTACATGATCAAAGCCGGTCTAAGACTGTCATTCAGAAAAAAAATTTGGATCAAATCGATGGAGAATGGCCTCATGATTCACGGTTTTGCGGAAAAGCAATCTCTCTAAAAACAAAATCTCGCTACAAAAAAAAATTCATAAAACTAAAATACAAAACAACAAATCATAGTACATAATTTTGATGAAAGCATGTATTACCACGATCATTCAACAAAAATAATGGATCAAATCGATGAAAAAATGGCCACCAAAATCTCGAATTGGCGGAAAACCATAACCGCTCAAAAAAACCCTAAATTTCAATCAAGAAATTCACAATCTGTTATTTTATTGGGTTCAATCCAACCCCAATCGATGTTTTATGGACCTAAAATATGATTTCCCTCCATTATTAATCAAAAAACGACAAATTTTGATGAATTTTTATGCTTCCAGCAGCTTTTTTGCCGATAAAGGGAAAGAACATCGTTTTACTGTAGTCAAAACGCCGTTTCGGCTCAAGAACCGCACGATTTCCTGTATTTCACGAGAATCGGCAAGGCTGGTCCGATTCGTGTGTCAACCCGGACAATTCCGGGTCGACTCGCCCGTTTTTAAATCCCTGGCTGAAACATGTTCATGCATAGGCACAACAAAACAGCCATAAAGTTACCAGCTACTACAATCAATATGTAAAGATGAATAATCACAAGAGAAGAAATGAGGAAATGGGTACCTCAGAAACTGAGGTCTCTACTTTAGGTGGTTCAAATATTCTAAATGGGGGAAGCTCAGTTGAAGCTCTTACAATCCCCACTCTGTTCCTTTCAGGAACTGACTGCCTCTTAGTTGGGAAACATCCGTTTTTTGAGCACCAAAGCTTCTGAAACAGGGAAAGGATGTATGATTAATAGAAATTAGAGAGAGAGAGAGAGAGAGAGAGCAGTGAAGCAGAGGAGGAGAGAAGTTGAAAAATGGGTTCACCTTGTTTTGGAAGAAGGAAGAATGTATGGCATGTTGTAAGGCGACAGAAGCACTCATATTGCAGAATAGGGTTTGCTAACACAGAGTTTCGAGCTCCAAGAATGTTGGATTCCTGCCCATTACCAGTTGCAAGTGAGGAAGATGGGGAGTTTCTCTCTCTCCCTCTCTCTTCTCTCTCTCTGGTTTAAAACATTTATCAACTCATTCAGACAGCAGGGATTCAAAAATATCGGAAATTCGTTGGAAGGCCCTTGATTTAGATTAATTAACGTAAACATCTTCTCTGTTTTGTGCAGCTCACGTGTACTATTCTACCGCGGAAGTACAGTTTACTTTTACTTGGGCAGAAGACCAATTTTGGGAGGAGCTTTTTAATATGAAATTTTAGAAACTGCCTAAGAATCACTCGATGATTATTCTCAAATATTAAAAATTTTAGTTTTCTAATCATTAGATCTCACCATCTAAAAATTGGAATTCAATGTCTCATTTCAATCTTGAGATATTATTCTTTTAAAGTCCATAGAAGGTGCAATGAATTTTTTTTATAGATTATGTTAGCATACTCATACGTGTAGTACTCGATATTTTTTATTACTTTATAACCTTCCATGGAGTAACTTTTTTATTTAGAGGTATTTTAGATAGGGAAAAGTTTATGTAGAGCCTAGCTCTAAACAATCAAATTAGAACCTATCTTAAAATTTTCACTAGAAGATGTTATTTTGATGCTCAAATATCCTCAAATTGATCATCTCGACAGCAAGATGCATGGACTTGAGAAAAAAAAATAGACTTCAAGGTTTGGAAATAGCGCATCTTGTGACGCATTTTTGGACCGTCAATTTTTAAGTTATTCAAGTTTTCATAGATCTGCTCGATCTACAAATTTTTTTAAGCATTAAATTTTATAATAAATATGAAAATACATTTTAAGGCTAGTCCAAGATTTCAAATATTGAAATCATATTTCTCAACACTATTTGAATGTGTGCTCTAATTTGATTATTTAGATCCTCGGCTCTATACAAATGCACCATGTTAGATAAGTTAAAAGTTTATAAAAAGCCGAAGCTCTAAACAATCAAATTAGAGCCTACATCAAAAAATTCACTAGAAGCGGTTGTTTTGATGCTTAAATATCCTCAAATTGATCATTTCCACATCAAAATGCATGAACATGAGAAAAAAATAGATTTCAAGATTTTAAAATAGTGCATCTTGTAACACACTTTTGGATAGTCAATTTTCAAGATTTTCAAGTTTTCATAGATCTACTCGATCTACTCTATTTTTTAAGCTTTAAATTTTATAATCAAAGATGAAAATATATTTTAAGGCTTTCACACAGATTTCCAATATTGAAACCGCATTTCTCGACACTATTTGAAGGTGCACTTTACTTTAATTATTTAGAACCTCAACTCTATACTAACTGCACTATTTAGATAAATAGCAAACGATGATGTCAATCAATGAGTTATGGCATCACCCACATGAAGTAATGATTGTTTCTTAACCACCAATATCCCCATTAATAACAAAAAAATGCCTTTACTCAAAATATTTATACTACAAAATAAGGGGCAATGAGTGTACAAAAAAATTGAGTATATTAAGCAATACTTATTCTCTATAAGTAGCCTAATATAACTCTTTTTTTTTATTGAGGTTAATCTATAGGTGAAGAGGTTATATCCCCTTAAATTTGAGATCCTGAAATAAATTATAGATAAGATTTTATCCGAATGAGTAAATAAATATGGGTTATGTTAGGGTGGTCACACTATATAGCATTTTATAATTGTATTCAATAAATTTTAGAGACTAATATACTATTGTTTTATAATACAATATTTTTTTTAGTAAGGGTATTTTTTATCATTAGAAGGGATGTAACGTCACCAACATAAAGCATTAAATGTGACTAGTATGCTCCATGTAGATGATATTACATCTCTCCTAATGATCAAAAATACCCTTACTAAAAAAATACTCCAAAGTACAAAACAAGGGTATACAAGTATCTAAAATTTGTTGAGTACAATTATTAAATGCTCTATAATGTTAACGCCTAACATAACCCAATGAAAACCTTATATTCGTGTGGGATTATAATATCTTTTTCCTAAAAAGATAGCGCTTAATATTTAATTTCATGCTCGTGGGCTTTCTCACCTCTCAATTTTATTTTTGTCAAAAAAAATACTAGAGCTCTTAGTTTCAAATTAGTTTTTGTTAAAAACGCAGTTTAGAATTTGGAGATTCGAACGTCAATTTCTACTAAAATTTATGTTTAGGAACTTTTTAAGTTCTAAAAAAATATTTGTTAAAATTTCTATCAATTGCTAATTGATAGCTTGGAGTTTCCAACACCTATTTGACTAAAAAAAATAGGATAAGCACACTTTAAATTTGAAGTTTTTGAGAATGATTGTAGCATCACTTGTGCCCTAGCTAAAATCTAGGCTTCTATTCTCATCTAACGCATTAAAAAAAAACCACTAATAATTTCAAAAAACGGATAAGGGTTCGTCATTACCACTAAATTAACCCCCCAAAAAAACAAAGAAGTTTTCAAGCCATTCACCAAAAAAAAAAAAAAAGTATTCAGTCTAAAACTTGAACTTATGAACCGCTCAATCCGAAAAGATAAACCAAAATGTGGTTTGAGAAATGTTAGTATTTCAAAATAATCTCTCTTTTATTCTATAGCATTTTGGAAAAGAATGAATTGGAAAATGTGCCGTCCTTTTGTGTAGAGAAAGAAGAGATAGGCTGTTTAATCCCACATTAAAGAATGAAGTGAACAAAGAGTAGATTCATGAACAAAGGGGAGGGTGTAGTGAATGTGTTTATCACAGACATGAGCAAGCGTAAAGGTATTGATGGTGCACTTCGAACACTCCATCGGCATAACTGTGTGAAAACTATTTGACCACGGTAGCGTGGCACTCTCCCCTCTCTCACACACCCGTGAAGTGGGTGATTTCCACCCCATTATCATTGCTCTCTCTCTCTCCATGGAAGAGTGCAGCAATTTGTTGAAATACAGAGAGAATAGGGAAGAGGGTGAGAGAGGTGGAGAGAGAGAGGGAGAGGTGATGGAGAGATAGAGATGGTTGATTGGGGAGAGAGAGAGTAGGGAAGGAAAGAGGTGTACCTTTGAGAGAAAGGAAGAAAAGTGGCTGGGGTTTCTCTCTTAGTGTGTGTCATTTGTTTTCCTTTTTTATTTTGAATGTTCACAACTCAAGTCCACACGAACTCGGCCAAGAAACTCGCCTCAGGCTTGGGCCGAGTCGCTAAACACTTTTTAGTACCCATGGGCACCATGAGCTATAGAGAATCAGTCTTACCAAGCAATCAATGGCTGGTGAGCCAGCCACATAAGAGTCCGACATAACCGAAAAACCTCCATGGAGTCGAATGGTTGGCCAAGGAAGGCGCTGCCTGAACAATGTTGATGATTAATAAGTTCTAATGGATGGGTGATCCTTTTGACCTTTTGTATACTTGTAGAGTCAGAGCACTACTCACATTTTTGTATGCTTGCAAAATAAATGGAGATCAATAATACAAAACTCCAAGTTGACATTCAATGAGAGAGGTTCTAGTGGTGTCACCCATCTGCCATAACAAATTAGCCAAGGGATGCGATACCAAAAAAACTTTTTAATTCAAGAAGCTCAATGTTCAAGAAATTGAAGGCCGCACAAGCACAACACGAAAGAAACAGAACATTAACTAATTCATTGAAGTGGATAAAACCTACGCCACTTCCACTGACAATAATAAGGGAAAGGAATAAAGAGCCCAATAAATAGGCAGTACAGAAAAGCATAATGTTAATATTTACGTTGTAGTCTCAATGCAATGATTACAAGATGCACATTGATTTTTATGAATGAGAAGAGAAAGTAAACCAATAAACCACATCCTAGACGAGGCCTTTCGCATAAAGGTCAATGCCACCTATCTGAAGTCGGCTTGTGGCTTTATCATCTCTAACTGAAAGAAAGCGAAACCTGCGAAAGCATGCTGAAGGCTAGCATAAGTTTGTTAAAAAAATCTTCTTGGGAAAGTAGTGAAAGAGGGCTGACAACACCTGTACGAATTCTGCAGGTTCTCCAGAAACTGGAATTTTGGAATATTGTCTAGCCTTTTTATTTTTCCAAATAACTGTCCCCAGTCTGTCTAATGTGTTTTAAATACTAAATCGGGCACGTAGAGTCCAAACATCATATTGAGGGTCCATGTTTCTGGAGTACCTCCATAACTTATTTAGGTGTTCCAATCACTGGTTTGATACTTTTACAATCTTTAAAGCAGTTGAGCGTTACAGGCATCACAAGCACATTACCTGAATGCATTGGACATTCTCCTCTCAAGTTCAACCCTATATGTTTTGCGCATAAAACGACTGTCAAAAAACTGTGAATGTTGAGTGTCCAAAACAACCCAAGTGCAGCCACCATCATCACTTCCCTCAACAATCCTGAGATCTCCACAATGTCAAGCCCATAATTCTTCATAACAAAAGTCAGGTAGCAATAAATGTTACAGCGAATGTGTAACTGACTAAGCAGACTTATCAAAGTTGGAGAAGAAAGTCTACAAGCACAAAAGGGGCAACAAAATGTATCACAGCTTGTTATCCAAAAGAAAAGCAATAACAAATTATAACTAAGTATTTTATGACACAATGACCACGGGAAACCAGAAAATACTGGGATCATCACCATCCAATGAACTATCAGGCGGGAGAGAGAAAGGCACCGACTACAGGGGGGATACCCCAACCCCCCTAGTGCCCGAGAAACACACACCTAGTAACTGATAGGAGAGAGCAGCACCCATCATTGGGGTGGGGCTGGGATAGTGTACACTAACAAATAAAATGAACAAACAAATGGACGTAATGGCTTTTGTCCTCAAATTCCATATGTTCTTTGAACTCATTTAAAATCGCAATGAAACGAAAATTGATAGAGCCAGTGACTTTGTAATAGTTGGTGAATTTGATAGAGATAGATATTGCTAAAGGGCCATTTTGTCTTAAGCAAGGAGAGTTATGATGAATGCAAACCATCCATTTAATGGACCATGGATCTTGGCCTTCAAGAACTCAAAACAGATTCTTTTTTATGTTTGTTTTTTTTATCAAATATGTTGTGCAAAATTTCAGTCCAAAACAAATCCCTCTAGCTATGTGTTTTAACCAAAGGCTTATAATGTAACATAAGCCTGCTGGCTTATAGAATCTTCTCCCATGTAGAAAAAGGAACCTACAAGCCCACAGGATTAAACTATAGCATTAGCCTGTAGGAGCTAGTGGGCAATGTTGGACCCCAATTGTTGCACACATGAAAATATCATCTAGGCGATTAAAAGAAAATCACACAAAAAAGGGAGGAAATGATCCGCAATGAAAGCCATCCATTTGACCATGGACCTCGGCCTTCAAGAACTCAAAATGGGTTCTTTTTCATATTGTTTACTTTCCAAACCAAAGATGTTGCACAAAATTTGATGTAGAAAAATCCCTCTGACTACATGTTTTAGCCAACTGGTGCGTACTGCAGTATATGCCCGTCGGCTTATAGGATCTTATTCCATATGTGAAAAGATGCTCTATAAGTCCACAGGCTTATACACTAGTATAAGCTCGTTGGAGCTTGAGGGGGGTATTGGACCCCAAATTTTGCACACATAAATCTCAAATAGGTGATTGAATTAATAAAACCAAAAAAATGGAGAAAATGAGTCTACCAGTTTTTATAAATGCTAGCTGTCCATTTGATGAAGCACGGATCTTAGCTTTCAAGAACTCAAAATTGATTCTCATTTGAATTGTTTATTTTACAGTCACAAACCCAAAGGACATGGGTGGAAGGCTCTAAAAGGACAAGGGGAAGACCCAAAGGACATGGGTGGAAGGAGTGAGACTGGATATGATGACTTATGATATGACTGAGAGTATGACCCTTGCTAGAACGGAATGGTGGAATAAGATTTATGTAGCCAATCCCAAATAGTTGGGATGAGGCTCGGATGATATTGATGATTTTATAATCACACATGTTGCATAGATTTCGGCCCAAAAAGATTTGTTCAGCTATGTGTTTTAGCCAAGGCGTTTATAATGCAACGTAAGACCTTTGGCTTATGCGATCTTCTCCCATAAGGAAAATGACTGTTGCAAATAAAAGGAACAAGCTTTATTGCATTTGATGGACAAAACTTTCATTTATTTTTTGGTTGTCCTTATTTATCTTAGGTCTCTAAATAATGGTAGTAATGTTCATAAGTTGTAATTAAGGTTATTACTTAATGATATAAGTGGGGTAGAGGTCACATGCGACTTCTACACCACTTTCTTTCCCTTTTATCTCTCTCACGTCTATCTCTGCCTCCGTCATCTTGATTTTCTTTCCTCTTTTTCTCTCTTTAGATCCTATTAATCTGTTTTCGTCTCTACTCTAATTTCAACTTGGCATCAGAGCACGAAGACGATAAAATAGGGGATCAATCTTCAAAAAAGGTGTGTAGGAACTGTGTTTAGGGCTGGCATCATCTTTTGCGTTAAATGACATAATCATTCCCTAAAACCCTAAAACCCTAACCTTTTTTTTTTTTACCAACGGTAATTGTACAAGGCGAGTTTTTTTTTATGATTCTAGATATTGATCAAGCATTTATTCAAAAACCTAGTTGTTGGATGGATTAGGGTTTGTATACCCCAGTCAAAAAAATACTATTAGTGGTGTCTGTTTTATGTTTTTGGGAAAAAAAAGAGTATTGTAGGATCTGAGGGTGTAACCAGATCTGTAAAACCTTTGATTTGAAAATATCAAAGGGCGTAATTTGATCTCAATTGTTGATTAAAAACTGAGGGTGTAACCGGATCTTAACTACAGTAGAGAATATCTCTACAGGGATCAAATATGGAGTCATCTAGACCCCAAATCACTACACTCAGGTTTGATGGAACCAAATGTTTAGAATGAGCCATGTCAGTTAGACTATTTTTGGGTGGAAAGAAAAAACTGGGATACATTGACGGCATTGCAAAAACACCTAACTTGAAGAATGCTAAATATGCAGACTAGGAGGCTAAAGATATAGCTAGTATGGAATGGATACTATTTTCTATTTAGCCTAATATGAATCTATCCTTTATGAACTGCAATAGCTAAGGAATTATGCGAGGCAATCTCCAAGTCATATTCCCAAAAGAAAAATAGTACAAGGGTTTATGAATTGGAGCAGCAAATCAGTGATTTTAAAGAGGGTGACTTGTCACTAGGAGATTATTATGCTCATCTACATGGGCTTTGGAATGAATTAAGCAAGCATCAGCCCATACAATGTTCTTGTGACAAGGAACAGAGAGAGACTGGACCAAAGGAAGTATTTAATCTTTTGATGAGAATTAATGGAAAGTATGAAACAATTAGGGCAAATGTTCTTGGTGGCGAGACTTTGGCATCACTTGGTACAACTTTTTCCCTTCTTCGGCATGAAGAAACTCGTCGTACGATAATGGCAGTGCCTATGGGTGAAACTGAAAGATCCACCCTATTCACAAGTTTTAGTGGTAATTGAGGTGGACGACGTTTTGGGAGCCATGATGGAGGCCAAGGTGGTGGACATGATGTGGAAACACATCTGATCAGAAGGGAAAATTAAAGTGCACCCACTGTGGGAAGACTCAACATACAAAGGAAACATGTTGAGATTTGGTTGGACACCCAAGGAGAAACTTTCCAAGGGAAAATTCAGCAACAATTAGCGAAAGTACTGCCCCAGTTACTCAAGGGCAGCAAGATACCATCTCCTTTGAACCTCAAGAAGAGTTGGTGACTCTTCCTAAAAGAGAGCTCCTGAATCTCAGGTAGCAAGCTTCCATTCAAGACCCTTCTTCCTCCTCTAAGCCTCACATTGCACAATCAAGTATATCTACATCAGCGCATCATATCTTTGTAAATAACTCTGAAACACCTAGGATTATTTATTCTGGAGCAACTGAACATATGACTGGCATGGCTGATTTTTTCTCCACTCATATCCCTGGTTTTAGTCATGAATCAGTTAAAATAGAAGATGGTTCTCTTATGCCAATCAAGGGAAGGGAACATACATGTTACTCCTTCTGTTAACCATCCACCTTGCATGTTCACAATCTCTCTAGTAACCTCTTGTAAACTGCAGTATAACATTTTTCCCTTCCCACTATGCATTCCAAGACTTGATGACGGGGAAGACATTTGAGCATGGTCATGAAAATGGAGGGTTGTACTTTTTGGAGACTCTTGATCGTGCCTTGATGGTAGAAGTCTCATCTTCAATTGCTAATGAAGAAAGGGTGCATTTGAGGCACACTCACCTTGGTCATGGATCGTCTTTTACTTTGCGGCTTTAGTTCTAAATTGTTTGAGTCTCTGGGTCAAGTTGAATTGCAATGTGGCATTTATGAGTTGTCAAAACATTGTAGAACTTCATTTCATATCAATATCAATAAAAGAATGATATTCCTTTCTCTCTTATACACTCTGATGTGTGGGGTCCCTCACATGTTGCATCTGTGTTCGGAATTTATTTCTTTGTTACATTTGTGGATGATTGTTCTAAAGTTACAACTCTCAATCTAGTGAAACACAAAGGTGAAGTTGCTAATCCATTCCAAGTATATCACAAAATGGTTAAAGCTCAATATGGTACACAAATTAAAGCCTTGCAGCCTGACATTGGCGGTGAGTATGTGTCAAACAAACTCAAAGATTATCTTCTTGATCAAGGGATTGAGTTCCATACAACGTATCTATACACACCTCAGCAGTATGGTATAGCTGAGAGAAAAAAACAGATACTTGTTGGAAGTCACCCGAGCTCTTTTTCTGGGAATGGAAGTACCAAAAATTTTCTGGTCTGAAGCAATTCTCACTGCTGCCTTTTTAATAAATCAAAATAGGGACGAAGTCGATTTGTCACTGGAAGAAAAATCTTGGATTGTGTGTTGCTGCAATCCATGAAATGGTGCACACTGAATGAAGGTCTAAGGTGGGAGTAATGTACTTCAAGGCTGATATGGAAAAGGCATTTGCCAAAATGGATCTGGACTTCCACTTCTGAGTTATGTCAGACTTTGGTTTTGCAGAGGACTGGCCTAATCAAACAATGCACCAATGAGGAAACATCTCCCACTGAAATGGTTCGTCCCAACTCACCCATGTTCCATGTACCTCCCAAGGTGCTTGGTTGTATATGTTTTGACCACAACCTTAGTCCAAAGAGGGACAAGCTTGATGCTAAAGCTGCCAAATGCATTTTCATAGGGTATCCATCTCATCAAAATAGGTAGGTATGTTATGATCCTATTACCAAGGTCCGCTATGTCTCCATGTATGTCACCTTCTTTGAATTTGTTCCATACTTTTCCTCTACAGATCATGAGGGCTCTCTTCAAGGGGAGAATAAGATACAATTGAGTGAAGAGACCACATCAGTTGTTCCCCTTCCTATTCCCACACCACTTGTAGCTGAAGAGAGTGGTTTAACTAAAAGGAACGATGCTCATTTAGAGGAGTTGAAGACGTATACCAAGAAGAAGAACATGGTGCAAACCGAAGTTTTAAGCGACCATACCTTGAATGCTAACTCGGAAATAGAAACTATCCCTGACTCAGGTAACTAACTCTTTCACCCTCTCAGAGAATACTAATCTAGACTTACCTATTGCTTTTCGCGAGAGTACACGTTCTTGCACTCAACATCCAATAAGAAACTTCACATCATACAATTTTGTGTCTCCCTCTCATTGTTCCTTCATATCTACGTTGTCTTCCGTTAAAATACCTTCCAATGTTGCAGAAGCACTTTCACAACGTCAATAGAAAGCTGCCATGGGTGACGAGATGCGAGCACTTGAACAGAAGAATACATGGGAAATCACTAACCTTCCTGAAGGGAAGAAGGTCGTAGGATATCGATTGATATCCACTGTAGAATACAAAGTTGATGGTAGCATCGAAAGGTACAAAATAGGATTGGTTGCAAAAGGTTTCACCCAAACTCCTGGTATAGACTACCAAGACACTTTCACGCTTGTGGCAGAGTTGAACACTGTGAGGATCATTCTTTTACTAGCTGCAAATAAATTGCGACCACTCCATCAGTTAAATGCTACGAATGCATTCTTACATGGAGACATCCACGACGAAATCAATATGGCATACCTCTTGGTTTTCAGATTAAGAGGGAGACAGGAAAGGTGTGCAAGTTAAAGAAGGAAATATATGGACTTAAACAGTCTCCTAGAGTATGTTAAAAAATTCATTAAGGCATTGCTGAAATGTGAGTTCAAAAGGAGTCAAGCTGATCATACACTCATTGTGAAGAAGGATATTCGTTGAAATTACTGCCCTTATGGTGTATGTTAATGATATTGTTGTGACAGGGGATAATGTGAAGGGCATTAAGGATCTTAAATCTTATTTAAGCAAGGTGTTTCATATCCAAGATTTAGGACCCCTTAAGTATCTTTTAAGAATTGAAGTGGCAAGATCAAAAAAGGGGATGGTCATCTCCCAAAGAAAATATGTATTGGACTTGTTACAACAAACAGGGATGTTGGGATCCAAACCTGCAGATACTCCTAGAGAAGTCGATCATAAACTTCATGGAGAAAGGGGAGAGTCACTCAGAGATCCTAATTAGTATCAATGAATAGTGGGCAAGCTTATATATGTCACACTCACTTGACTAGACATTTCTTATGCGGTTAGCAAGGTCAGCCAATTATGCATGCACTACGTAAACCCTACCTCGATGCTATGTAAAGAATATTAAGATATCTCAAGTCTGCACCAAGGAAAGGGATCTTTTTCTTAAATCAAGGACTTCCTATTGTTGTAGTTTACACAGATGTCGATTGGGCTGGTTGTCAAACTGATAGAAGATCCACAAGGCTATTGCAGCTTTATTTTGGTTAACCTGATTACTTGAAAAAGCAAGAAGAAAAATGTGGTAGCAAGATCAAGTGTTGAAGTAGAATACAAAACAATGACTCATAGTACATGCGAAGTAATATGGATCAAAAGTGTTCAATTTTATTTGGGTGTTACGAGTTAAGCTTCCCATGGCTCTATATTGTGACAATGAAGCAGCCATTCATATCGCAGAAAATCCTGTTTTTCATGAAAGGACTAAACACATTGAAGGAGATTGTCACTTTATCAGAGAGAAGGTTGCTGCCAAGATCATTCAAACTCCTCATGTTAATTCTAAAGATCAACTTGCATATATATTCACCAGAGCCATTGGTCGGTACAGATTACATGATATCACAAGTAAGCTAGACATGATTGATATTTATGAACCAGCTTGAAGGTAGTGTTGGAAATAAAAGGAATAAGATTTATTGTATTTGATGGACAGAACTGTCATTTATCTTTTGTTTAGCCCTAACGTTGGCATTGTCTATTAATTGTAATTAAGGTTATTACTTCATGATATAAGAGGGGAAGAGGTCACATATGATTCCTATGCCATTAGTTGCAATTAAGGTTATCACTTCATGATATAAGAGGGGTAGAGGTCACATGAGACCTCTACGCCACTCTCTATCCCTCTTTATCTCTCTGTCTCTCTCACGTCTCTCTCTCTCCCTCCTTCATCGTCTTTATTTTCTTTCATCTCTTTCTCTCAAGATCCCACCAAATTATTTTTGTCTCTAATCTAATTTCAACTAGGATCACATAAACACAGGGGCTTATAACGTGGCATATGCCCACTGGACCTAAAGGAGGCTGTTGAACCCCAAATGTTGCACATTTAGATCTCATTTGGGTGAATAGAAAAAAAATTACGTAACAAAATGGAGAAAATGAATTCCACTGAATGGACCATGGATCTTAGCCTTCAAAAGCTCAAGTTGGCTTTTCTGAAATTATTTATTTGTTGAATCAAAGATGCCCAAAATCTCAGCCCAAAAAACTACTCTAGCTATGTATTTTAGCCAACGATATAATATAATATAATATAATATATATATATATATATATATATATAGTCAAAATCCTACCAGTCTTTTGGATCCCTCTCTGGAGCATCATCAGCAGACATCAACTCATATGCGACAAGCTCTTGCATTTCGCCATCCAACAACTTATATACAATCCATGCACCTGCATATGCCATGTAAAATGTGACAAATTGACAATGAAGACAGGTGATGGAGGCCAAATATCACAATAGAGCCACAGACATTTCAATAACAAATTAAATTATTTTTTGGATAAAATAATGTGTGATACATTTTGGCAGCATTACAAAAAATATTCACTTATCTAAAATTGATGCAGGAAGCAGTAACAAATTGAAGGACAGCACAAAGTAAGAGAAGCTAATGCAAGAGATATGTTTAAAAAAAAAAATTAGATCAGTGCAATGCCAACAATCTCACTCAGCATGAGTATGATTGTGCTCGTTCAATCTGTGAATACATGCATGCACCAACCACCATACCCATGGAGGAATTAAAAAAGGATTATGAGTTATGTAAAAGGTTCCATTGGCAGTGGTTTATTCTATAAGAAAAATAAACAAGTGAGTATAGATTTGGGGTCTGTAACTGAATATTCAGATGCAGATTTGAGTAGGAGATCCTGATTTGAGAAAATCATTTCCAGGTTATTGCGTTCTTCTGGGACATAATTTAATATCTTAGAGCAGTAGAAAACAGAAAATGTTTGCCAAATCAAACACTGAAGCAGAATACAGGGTTCTTACTGGAACAGTGGCAGTGATTACATGGGTTCGTAGTCTCATATCTTGGTTGGGTTATAAAGTTGGCAGGTCGTCTATCTATTATGACAATAAAAATGCTTTAGCAATTGCTGCACACCCAATATTTCATTATAGGACAAAACACATTGAGATTGATTATCATTTTATCCAATAAAAGATAAGAGGCTTAAGAGGTTAAAGGCAAATTCATTGGTACAGAAAATCAAATCGCGGATACATTCACAAAAGGTTTATCAAGGGAGAGGCATGATTACCTAAAAAGCAAGTTGTACATGTTTAAACATGATGGACAACTTGAAGGGTAGTGCTAGAAGTGTTGAAAGGTTTGTTTTATGTATATTCTTCCTGTTTTATGCATATTCTTATATTTAGGAATATGTATTGTCCCTAATGTAACACCACTTATTTGAATATAAGATGTCATTGTCTCAGACGTGCCTCAATTACCCAATTCTTTTCACGCCAATAGTCTATTGCGCCTCCCTCTTTGCCTTCTCTCTCACCATAAGAAAAATTAACACTTATCTACAAGATTGCTGTATTTTAACCATAGGTACAAATGGGTTGAGGTGCCTAGATGCAACTGAATACTACGTATCCCTAACTTCTCTATGTTGATACATATACATATAGTTTGAGGGACTTAGATGCAAGTACGTGATAAAATACAATGACTGAAAAGGGCACGTACACTTTATTACAATGCCAAACAATTAAGAAAAGGAACATCATACTTATACAAAGACTGCATAATGTAAGAAATGAAATATAAGAAATGAAATGCCATCATCATCAACACAATACAAACATACAAAGAAGTTGGTTACATATATGAAATTTGCATATCCTCAACATCCCAAAGAAACATTAAAGAAAAGATATATACATGAGAGTAACTTCTGTTGGCCAAAGGACTGAAGGAACAGTATTAGCCTAATGGCCTAGATTCAATCTGGACCAATCTGACGGCCTAAGCATATGTGCACACTCTTTGAATTTTATTTTTTTTAAAACCGATGAACCTCAAATTTTAGGGGCATGTGTGCTTGACCTAGGCGTCAGCAAAATAGTAATAATGAAAATTTTAAAAAAAAAAAAAAAAAAGGGAACCAATGTACACCAGCCACGTTAACCGAGAAAGGCAAGGGTATTTTGGACTTTTTAGTTTGCATATGCTTTGTTATTTTATTTTGATTCATAGGTCAGGCACACATGCCCCTGAATTTTGAGATCCAACTTTGTACAAAACTCTAATAATCAAATAGTGTTCATACATACTGGATCAGATAGATTAAATCGGGGCAGATGTGCTCTGTGTGTGTGCATCGTTTTGAATCTTCAACAGTGTCATTACTCATTACCGAAAATAAAGTACCTCTTGCACCATTGGGTTCTTCCCATTTGGACAAACGAAGACCGTCAAATGCAGAAGTCACCTGGGACCGCAATGTGAACAAAACATTAATTGTATATTCTTGGGTACCAAGATCTTCCAAAGATTCTTAAAACCAATAAGACTCACAATTCCAACAGGAAGCTCCTCACCACTGGCCTGGACAGAGCCGGAACATAATCTGTTGAACTTGACAACTGGTAGAGAAAGAGGTTCCATTCCAAACCTTTTCACATTTTCCAGGTTATACATTAATTCATCAAGAGCATCCAAGGCCACTGGCAATGCCATAGAAACTTTGATGGGATTTCCAGACAAGCATACAGATAAACTTCCATCTCCCTCTAAATCCTTCTTCAAGGAGAGTGCAGAGAGGAACCCATCAACTGAAGACAACATTTTAGACTCAGTAAAGAACAAGAACCATGGGTTTACTAGTGCTCTCCGCCTTCTAAAAGGGGAGTTTCTAAGATCTACTAGTAAGGATTTTAGCATCTGTATATTTTCAAGGGTTTTTTCTCTGCTGACCCTTTCATGGGCAAAGGAACACAACAAAAGAAACAGTGCATTGTAAATGCTTTTGACATGGTCATCTATGCATGTACGTATTGGACAAGAAAAACAACTTAGAGAACTATTCTCTTCAGGCCCAATTTCTGATCTCGCCAAACGCCACTCCTTGTCTCCACTTTGCCGTCCTGGCAAAGCTATTGAATCATCATCATTAGAATCATGTCCTTTTCCCAATTCTTCAGCTGCCTTTTTGTCACAATCTCCAAGAATGGCACATTCTTGAGAAGAAAGACCTCTACGGCATTCCCTTGTAATATCTGCAAGAACTGCAGATACATCATCCTCGGAAGTCAAAACCCGTCTAGATAGGACCTACAACAAAAGAAGCAATGCAAATCAAAAAGCATGTCCATTGATCACAGAGTAGAATCTGAAATGATTTTTTTTTCTTGTACCTCAGGCCATTTTCTTGTATAACGTTTTGTGACATCACACACTCCATCTTTTGCTATACCAATTATATAACTGAGCTTCTTTTTCCAGCTTCAAGAAAACCATTAAAGTAATCAGTAACTACCATGATGTGCTATGTTCTAGAATAGTGAAGAGGCCTGATAAATATCATTGAGATTCCTCAAACTAAGATCCACAGATGTTATTAGGATCGGATCCCCCAAAATAGCTAGCAAGTGAGAAGTACCAATATGTATGTTGCAAAAGATAGGGAAGGGGGCTTACCCCTTTTCATATAATAATGGATTATCATATACACCTTCACAAGGATCAAGATGCATCCATCTGCAATCTCAACCATGAACCATGAGCATATTTGTGGAAATTATTGATGTGTAAGGAACAGTCCAGAAAGTATATGGTAAGAAAACCATATCGAGTGTATATTAAGTTGACAGAGTACCTTCCAATGCAATCAGAAAAGCATTCCGTCCATACATGATCCGAAAAATCTAGAATCTGAATAAACAAAACCAAGTAGATAAACAACGCATTGATTCGAGTAAGCCATACAAAAAAAAAAGACCTCCTTGCATGTTATTTAAAAAGATCACGAAAAACTGGACAAAATCAAATTTCCTTCTATTCTTTCCATGAAATCTTTCAGTATGTGGTCTTACCAGACGAGATTTAAAACCAAAAGCTCTACAATATAGAGTAAAGCAATTTGCCCACTCTCCACAACGTCCTCTTCTTGTTTCTAAAAGCTAGCAAGATAATAAAAGGTAGTAAAATATATGTTTAGAGCTTATCGAAATATAATTACATTATAATCTCAAAAAGTAACGCAATCAATGACATGAGAAAAATATCTTGAAGAAACATAAAGAAGCAAGGGAAACTACCTTCCTTGGATCATTGTAACGAGGAAAGCGAGTAATTCTTGAGCAAGAGTTGCATCTAGAAGATTCAAAGAATAATAAATTATCAAGTAGATTTCTCTGATTGATGAAGAGCGTGCAAATTAATATTTTTTTGGGTAGTTAGAGTGCAAATTATTCCTTGATGTTCAAATACACTAGTAGTCATTGAAACAAAATGGATATAAGAAAAATAAAATAAACTGAAGATTGCAGCATCAAATTTGAATTGCCTCTAACAAGTCAAGCTATGACAACCCAATTATGCACCATCATATGTCACATAAGCAATTAAATGAACCAGTTACATTTAATTATGTGAAATGTCACAACTCCTAGCAAACACTTGACGAAAAAACCATAGCAGCAGAGAATAGATTCTGGAATTGACATACAATGAACCAAATGAGCTATAGACACAATCCAAGTTACAATAATGGATTTTCTTTTATAGATTTTACAGGAATGAATGTTGAGACCTATGTCCAGGAAGTATTTATTGCTCTATTTACACAATACGAACCCTATTAAGAGTGCTCCAGTTATTAATTTACAACTACATAAAGAAAGTTGGAAAGAATGGCAGGACGATGGATCTATAAATAACTCTATTGAAACACAAAATATGTTGGCAAATATTCCCCCTGAACACAGAACAACTTTTTAGACAGATAACTAGGATTTAAGGGAAAATTGACACAAACTCACAATGTCATAACAAACAATCATTAAGAAAAGCAAGAAGGATCGGAAGTAGAATTGTGAGAAGATCCTGTCCAGGTAGCTCTAATGTAAGGCAGCATATGTTGTCAAATACACTCTCATGAACACAACACAACTTTTCAGACAAAAAATTAGAAGTCATGTTTGAATTGGTGGAACTTTGGGTGATGAGAGACCTAAGTTCGGCCAACATCGCTCCTCGTCTTTTGATGCTGATTTATGGAAGCCGCCCTTCCATGCTTTATATTTTGTGGAAGAGAGGGGGTGCTTTGGCAGCTCCCTCTTCCACAAACAAACACATCCTTGGATTCAAGGGAAAATTGACACAAACTGACAATGCCATAATAAACAATCATTAATAAAAGGAACAAGGATCTGAAGTAGAATTGTGAGACGGTCCCTTCCAGGTGTAGAAAATTTTCTAACCTACCACTCAAAATCACAAGGCCCAAAATGCAAACCTAGATGACGAATCCAATCACATCAAACATAGTGGAAAGAGCTGAGGACAGAAACTAGGTTGTCTTTAGAGAAACAAACAAATACAATAATGCAAAGAAAAGGATAATTGGGTGTAGTGACCATTCATTACAGTATCAATTCTAGTTGCTGCAAGAACATAATCTTTTTACCCGAAAAGTTCAACGTTGGATGCGCCATACTCAAGTTCAGAAGCAGAAGCAGTACCCCTATTAATGAAACTAGTCTCACGTCCACAAGCATCACATGGTGGAGAATTAACCCACCTGTAAAAGATATAAAATTCCATGAGATGAAGATTGCATTGCCTCCTTCGATGCAGTTAAAAATTTGCTGTGGCAAAACGTAATCAACAGTAAGTACACCAAACCATGCCCAAGTAACATGTATTTAGAAGCAATGAAACCAAGCATTAACTTTATATATGACTCTAAAATTATTTACTAATGAATATGATTAGCAATAAGGTCATTCAGATTTAGTTGAAAGGATGATCAAGATCTAAGTCTTAAACTATTTGCATGAGATCGGTATGCAAGAGAGAAAGAAAGAAAGAGAAGAGGAGAAGGAGAGAACGAGAAAATGGGGAGGAAGAGGTGTGAGAGAACTTGGCCATAATGTGCGACTTAGTTTCTTAAGTTAGACTAGTCACACTTATATATTATTGACATAGAAATAATTGCAAAATGTACCTTGTATGTTCTTATTAAACGATGCATTCCATTTTCTTATTAAACAATGCATTCCATTTATGTCCCTAACTTGTTGTTGTACTTTCATTACTCCCCCTCAAGCTGGAGCATAGATATCAAGCATGCCCAGCTTGACAACTATATCCCGTAGTCTGTCACGTGCAGCTACCTTTGTGAAGATATCGCCTAGGTGGTCTCTTGATTTCACATGAGGAGTAAAAATAATTCCAGCTGTGACTTTTTCCCATAACAAATGACAGTCAACTTAGATAAGCATTGCTCTCTCATGATATACAGGGCTCTTAGCAATGTGGATGGCTGTTTCATTATCACAATGAAGGGTCATCAGTTATGAATTTTTAACTCCCAGATCAGCCAGTATAGTTCAAAACCACATAACTTCACAAGCTCCGAGTCCCATACCCCCGTATTCTGCTTCAGCACTTGATCTGGCATGACATTTTGTTTTTTTAACCCTTACATGAGACTAATTTACCACCACAAAAGGTACAATAACCTGTAGTTGACCTTCTATTACTCTAACTAGCCTAATTTGCATAATTGTAGATTGCAATACCCATATGATCGGGATCAGCAAACGACAATCCTTTCCCTGGAGATGACTTGAGACCCTTTAGGATGCGACAGACAATATGTGAGGTTTACATGAGGCATGATGAATTGACTAACTACACTAACCCATTAATCTCTGATGTTGACTAGGACCCTTTAGTAATTGTCTCAGCTGAGCATGTAGTTTATAATTGACTTCCATAGGAGTATCCATCGGTCTAGCCCCCAATATGCCGGTTTCTTGTAATAGGTCCACCACATACTTCCTTTAAGAAATGGCTATTCCCTGCTTTGAAAAAATAGGAGTGACCCATATATTTTATGTCAAACACTTTACTCAGGTAGCACTTGAGATCTTTAATATCTTCAAAGCTTTTTACCTCCATCCTTCTGAAGCCAATCTTTAGTAAGGCGTCACTAAATTTCTTAAAACCAGGCTCTCGGCATTTGTTTAAGTCCATATATCACCTTTTTCTATATGCACACATTTCCTATCTCCCCCTGAAGCTCCTGGAGGCATGGCCATAGAGATTTCCTCCTGAAGATACCCATGTGGCAAGTCATTTTTCACATCCGATTAAAGACCAAGATTTATAACCGCTAAGGAGAGAGATAGTCATGATACTATTTAATTTCACTACAGGGGAAAAGGTTTCTTTTAGCATATATCCTGGGTCTTTGTAAACCCCTTTGCGGTCAATCTCATCTATATCTTTCTATAGTGCCACTTGCCGTGTATTTCACTAATCCTACCACGTTCTTTCCTTCAAAGAGTTTGTTGAGTTCCCAATTACTGTCTTTTCAAGAGCTTTCCAAATTGCAGCCTTCCATTGAGGTTGTGATAGAGAGCTTCTGCTACACAAGATGGAATGCAAACAGGACACAAGGATGATAGGAAAACATGATAAGAAGGTGACATCAAATTATAAGAAACAAAGTTTCCCATAGGATACTGAGTGCAATAATGTTTACCTTTGTGTAAGGCAACAGGTAGGTCAAAGTCTGATACAAAAGGTGGACTGGTAGGTTCTGAGGAAGTAGTAGGGTAGGAAGGGGGATATAGGTTAAGGATAATGCCTGGTTTCAGGTTGGCACTTAAGTGATGACTGTTCTGGACTTTAGATTGTACCAACTTCCTTCTCTAAACATGCATCATCTAACTCCTCCTTGGTTTTTGAATGTCTAACTCCTCCTTAGGTTCAACTGGGGCATTTCCATCTTCAATGTGGTAAAAAAAAGTAGAGGCACTGATGTTGAACTAATCTTCCTGCCTATTGTTCTCTCCCTGAAGAGAGAATTTGTCATCTATCAAACAAGAAATATGGGATGGATTAAAGAAGATAGCAATCAGTGAGACATAATTAATTTTATTAACAGGATTATAGCATTTGATATCCTTTTGATGCTTTGGATATCCTAAGAAACACACTTAAATGGCTTTCTAGTCAAATTTGTCTCTCTTAGGACCAAAATATGAACAAAGCACACAACCAAAAACTTTGGAAGGTATGGGAAATAAAGGGCAATTAGGAAGAAGATATTAAATACGAGACTTTCCATGAAGAACCCTTGATAGCATATGATTTATTAACAAGGTAGTGGTAAGGACAACTTCAGACCATAAGACTTGGGAACTTTCATTCCAAGCAAGACGGATCGGATAACTTCCAACAAGTGTCGATTTTTTCTCTCAACCACTCTATTTTGCTTCGTGAGTACAAGGACATATACGTTATTATGTTTTTTGGAATTCTATAACATGATCCTCAAATAATCTTTGGGATGATCCGAAACATATTCATCAACATTATCAAAATGAAGTACTTCGATAATTGCATCATTTTGTGTTTTGACCATTTTATGGTAAACTTGAAAAAGGCTTGCAACTCCACCCTTGTTTTTCATTAAATAAATTGTGGTCCATCTAGTGCAATCATCCACAAAGGTAACAAAGAAACAAAACCAACAACAGAAAAAATGGGAGAGGGACCCCACGCATCAAAATGTATAATAGAGAAAGGAGTGACACTCTTTTTATTATTACTGATAGGAAGTGAAGTTCTATAATGTTTTGCCGACCGACAAATCTCACATTATAATTGAACCTAACCCAAAAAAGCAAAAGTCTTAGGAAAAAAGAATGCAATGTGGAAGAGAAGCGTGACCAAGACGGGAGTCCCACAAATACACCCATTTTTTATTAGCAATCAAAGACATGGTAGTGGATTGAATTGTAGTAGGAGCTTGATTTGATGGCTCTAGAAGGTACAAGCCCCCATCCTCAAGACCATGACCCAATGTTTTCAACATCACCAAGTCCCGAAAAACACAATGAGACTGGAAAATGCTACAAAACAATTTAAAGTTTTTGTGAGATTACTGTCCTTTTTCCTTTAATTGATACATAATATCCATCATCAAACTGGATAAAGTCCTGATTGAAACAAGTAGCATAAGTAGAAAACAGATGGGTCATATGTTCGGTGGCTCCTTAATCAACGATGCAAAGAGTTTGAGATGGAGTCACAGAGCCATGATATGCAGATGCAGATATACCTGATTAAGCGAGATGGGACTTAGAGGAAGACGGATTATCATGGGTGAAGGCACATTGCTTAAGATCAAGACGCTCTCACTTGGAAACAGTGACCAATTAATTTTCAAGCATAGAAGATGTATAGTCACAAAGGAGACATCTGGTTGTTGAGACAAAATATGAACAGTCTCCTTTCTAGTCGCTACAGCATAAGCCCTCGTTGTATTGTGGTAAGCGCACAAAATGAGATTTCGAAATTTTCCACAATGGGTAAACTTCAGCGTATTCTTTTCATCTAGTGAGGCTTCTGCAATGACCACTATGGCCACCACCACATATATTGAAAGAATTGGAAACTAGGGAAAATCTTTTAGATTAACCAATACACACAACTATAACTTTCCGGTAAGTTTCATGCTGAAGAAGAGAAAATATTGTTCCACGAAGAAAACGTATTCACTACCTAGAACATTTGATCTGCTAGTTTCATATTCAGGATTAAGGTCCCCCTAGAAAAGCAAATATCCTTTTTTGTTCTAACATTTCTCTATGATATTTTGCACAAAGAGAACAATTTATGCGCAGATAGTGATTTAGTTCATCCCAAGAACCCTGTAAAGCAGCACAATAGTCTCCAACTGATAAACCCTTCTGCTTGAAGTTGCTGATTTGTTGCTCTAACTCATATATTTTTGTGACTCAAGTTTGGTTGGATAAAACTTCAAATCCACTTCGTAACAATCATTTCATTGCTTCCCAATCTGCATAAGATTTTTTATTTGGTTTCACTACACAATCATCAATATAACCCAACTTTTTTTAACCCCTAAGGAACAACCTTACAGATCCAGCACCAAATTAACAGTCTAAGGAAGTGGAATAACGGCTGGATTAAAAGAGGTACTCAACTCCTGCAAACTAAATAATTAAATTTCCATAGCATATATAGTGTGTTTGGGTGTATAAGAAGTGTGAGGATTTGTGCATCAGTGTTGTAAAGACAAAAGGCAAGGGCTCTCAAAGTGCCATGGAACATGGAAATGAGAACCTCTACAACGAAGATCAGACCAGCCCAATAGACATGCAACAAATGGTTATGGCAATAAAATATATTTGTTTTAGCATAAAAAAAACTGACTTTTTCATCAGTATGAATAGCGATAGTGCAAAATTTCATGAATGATGATACAAAACTATGTAAGAAGTAACATCGTACCTGAAAGATTTTTTAAACCAGAATAACAACTGCAGCAAGAAGGCATGATCTTGCTCAGCTTTTGAAGGTATGAAGTTCCCTTCCTAAACAAGAGATGCCCACTTAAGTAATTTACAATATTAAAACCTAATGCCACCAGCAAGAATATACATGAAGCTTGCTAAACTAATGCCACCAGTAAAGCCAAAAACAACCCGACAACAATGGATAAAAGCCATAAAACAATCCACTGCATCGACACAGAAAATCCAATCCATGGTCCTTTTGGTGACCATATATTGCATTTGGAAGCAATGGAATACTAGATTTCCATGGAGTGTTACACAATGTTATCAGAACCAGACCAAAGTGAAACAAAAAAGTGTCCAGTCCAGTTCAATTAGTGGTCAAGTGGTCATCAAACCAGTGCGACTGACAAAAACTGCAATCCAGTGGAACTGATGAAAACTGGTCAAAACCTGATAAGATATTAAAAATTTACAAAATTGCATGTGTTTTCAATATCCAGGTTTTTAGCAAACCAAACGGAATTGGGTGCCAGTCAATGGTCCAAGTGGTTGGACAGGCATCAAAGCCCATTTTAATAACACAGGTGCTACAAATGAATAACAGCATGTAATTTATAAATTATCATTGGAACAGTTTTGTGTAGCGCATGAATTCCAAGAAATACAGGGCATCAATAGCGAAGAATTTCCCCTTACAACCCACAAATTGAAGACCAAAATATACAATTACTACTGAAGGCAACTCATTAAACTGACCAAATGGGAATTACATCTTTTATTGCGAATGAATATGTGCAAAAAGGTCTTATAGATAACATTTGTTATTGTTTAGCACGTAAGTCATTATACCCATTTTTCCTATTCCACATCCAATGCTTCTGACTTTGGCACCCCTTACCCATGCACAGGCATAAAACACTCAAAGAGCAATGCTGTCAGATTCAGTTTGCTTCGGACAAAGAGGCCGAAGGCTTCAAATTCTTCACCCATGTCGAAGCGACACAAAAAACTGGACCATTCTTTAGCCTAATTCAATCCTCTTTGACTGTTTCAGCCTCTTTGGCCTTGTGGATTCTTTCGATTACACGGGGTGAATAACTGAAAAGTGTAAGGTTAAAAATTCAATACTAAAAAATTATGAAAAAAAAAAAATCTAAACTTACCCCTGTTCCATAAAAGAGGAGAAAACATTTTTTTGTTGTTTCACAAACTTTAAGGTTTTCTTCATTCCTCTTCTTCATTTTGATTTTGTTGCTACCTCACCTCAATAGCCCAATGCCTCCAAGTTCCAAATCCAAATAACACCAACAACTCTTCTTATTTCGTTCTTCTTCGCCTTCAAGAAGAATTCTCATTTTTTTTCAATTTTTCTAACTACTAATTTTTCTTTGAAAGTCCTTTCCATGAGTCAATATCATATATATGTGTGTTTGTATGTGTGTGTGTGTGTGCGTGTGTATGTGCGGAGAGTAATTTCATGTCACCATGTCGTTGTAATATAATGAATCCACACTTCAAGAAAACCATGTTTGTAGCATTTGTATGACCCAAATAATTGTATACACCCTCTCTTCATCCCATTAGTCAATCCCAAAAAAAATAAAATTCAATTTCCATCCTAGAAATGGTCAAGATGAGTCCCCTCCAAAGTTGAAATTAGACCATCCATTTGGTGAATTTCAAGATCTAAACTTTTAAAAACTCAAAATCACTTCTTTCTTTTTTTTTTGATATTGTTCATCTAATGATAATAAAGCTATCTAAAAAATCTGAACATATAATATATATACAAAGGGCTGTAAAACAGTGCTAGACCCGCCTAAGCAGGGTCCCGAGAAGGGTGGGCTGGAAACGGTCCTTAACCTTTGGCTTATGCACAAAATGGTTGCTCTCAGGACTCCAACCCGCGCTATTGTGCTGGCTACTCGAGCCTTTTACCATCACACCAAGTGATGGCCCCTATATATATATATATATATAGGCCGAAGTGCTTTCCTTTCCCAACCAAACGGAATAAACCTCCAAAGCGAATCGAACAACAGTACTCAAGGGTCCACCACATTTTAGTAGAATCAACAATTAGAGGTCTGCCGAGATTTTAAAAAACGGTCCGCCCGGTGCCTTGGAGCCCAAGAGACCTCAAGCCACATGCCTAGGCCTACGCGCTCCATTCTAGACGGTTATACCTGGGAGGGCGCCCATGGTTGTGGGCCTTTTTTGTTTAAAAATGCACAAAAGGGCAATAATTTTGACCCCCAAAAAAGTTTAAATACATTATGGGGGTTATTTTCAACCCCCCAAAATTAAAAGAACACTTCTATGAGCTCTAAATCTCTTAGCTATACTTATTTTTTTAGAAACAAAAGTATTTTGTGGTTTGAAGAACCATCCTAAACTTTTCTTTTCTCATTGGAATTATTATTAGGGTACTATTGGAGGTTGGAGAATTGGAGTCCATGTTATTATGGAACATGGAGAGTTCGAGACTATTACTAATACATAGTCTAGACTTTTAACTTTTTAAAAAAAAAATTGTGATTGGAATTTTGGAAATTTGAACAGGTTTATTCCTAACATGCAATCTGTTTGTATTAAAAAAGTATGTTACAACACATACATATGCAATAAATTATGGAACTAACACAAATATATGCACATATGTACGTTAAAATAGCATATATATGTATATATCTAAAGATTTTCTACTACTGAGCACCCGCCTATGAGTTGGGCGACAGGCCAGCCACCTAGCATTTTTTGAAACCTTGAGGTCGCAGAATATTATTTTGGTGAACTCTCCTCTTAACTACTCTCACTTATCGATTCACAAAAATTAAACATAAAATAGTTTATTTTATGTACCTTGGCCAATGATATCAAAGCTTTTTCCTCAAGTTCATCAACAGGAACTGTTTTCCGTGCCTCCTCCTGGAGGACTGCATCTTCATACTACATGCCATCGACAATGAATTGAGCTTTCAAATAAAGCAAAAACACATTTAACTGCAATCACATTAAGTTATGTGTTATTAAAGCATAGCATAACCAATATAAATACCATAAGAACTCCGCGAATATGTGATTGAATCCTCTTCTCAAATTCTTTTTTACCGGGGCTGGCATAATACTCCTGAACAAAAAGGGCATCCTCTTGAGCATGCAAAATGAAGACAAAAAAGGTAAAGATGGTAGAGGTCCAAGAACTTATAGGTACACCAATCTAGCCATAATAACAGAGTTGAGTGGGTACAAAATTGATGTAACAAGGAGCAATAACATGCTATCCATGTGGATTTGCAATTCTACATACAATAAATACATATATATAGGCATATACATACATATATGCATACATATTAATACATGCATATATGTAAATATACATATTAGCATATACACATGCGTACATAAATATACACACATATAATCTTCATAAATACATACAGGAAAAGGAATGTGTCAGCCCAAGGGCTAATGGAAAGATATAAACCCAACGGCCCAGATTGGATCTGGGCTAATCGGATGGCCAGAATTGTGCTTCATTTTTTAAATTTAACTTTTTTTACAAATCCAAATCACATGAAATTTGGAGCATCAACTGTCGATCGAATGACCACAATTGTATTTCAATTTTCATTTTTAATTTTTTTACAAATCCAAATCACTTAGAATTTGGAGAGTCTAATCCTAAAAAATAAGCACATCGAATAAAAATATCTAGAAAATTATTGGAAAAAACTAAATTGATCAAAATATATAAAAAACAAATTGAACAAAATATGGCCGAAAGTTTTAAGGTGTTTTAATCAATTTATTTTTTGCAAATTATTTTTTAATATTTCTATTAAGTGTACCTTAATGAAAAGAGTGAATGCTCCAAATTTCAAGTGCTTTGGATTTGTAGAAAGATATTGAAATTCAAATACAACATACAACTGTGGTCGTCAAATCAACTCAGATCCAATTTGACCCATTGTATATATATATATATATATATATAAGAAAAAGTTGGCGTAGGCCCAAGAGCCTACAACTATATATGAGCCCAACGACCCAGATTGAATCTGGGCCAATCCAATGATCACGATTGCATTTCGTATTTTAATTTAAATTTTTTTCTATAAATCCAAATCACTTGAAATTTTGAGTGTGTGTTCTTTAAAAATAGAAGAATCCAATAAAAATATCAAAAAAAAATATTTTGCAAAATATAAAGTGACCAAAATACCTTTCAAGGGTATTTTGGTCAATTTGAAAGGTATTTTGGTCAATTTATATTTTGTGACTTATTTTTTTAATATTTTTATTAGATGTGCCTTGATGAGAAGAATACGCGCCTAAAATTTTTTGTGATTTGAATTTGTGGAAAAAAATTAAAATTAAAATACGAAATGAGGTTGTGACCATCAGAACGGCTCAGATTGAATCTGAACTGTTGAGCTCATATATAGTTGCAAGCTAGTAGGCCTACACCAGCTTTTTCCATATATATATATATATATAAGAGACTACGCAATGCCTATAGACAAAAGGCTATAGTGATTTCACCTATAGGCTCATCACCGTTCGAAAAAATCGGAAAGCATAGATAAAACGACCGCCACGGACCTATCAAGACCATGGCGGGGTGAAACACTATTCATTATCAATTATATATATATATATATGGTGCGATTTGTATAGAGCCTAGGCTCTAAACAATTAAATTAGAGCCTACCTTCAAATAGTATCAAGAAATGTCATTTTAATACTGGAAATCTTTGTGATAGCCTTAAAATATATTTTCATCTTTAATTATAAAATTTAAAGTGTAAAAAATAGTGTAGACGAAGCAGATCTATGAAAACTTGAAAATCTTGAAATTGACGGTCCAAAAACGCATTGCAAGATGCACTATTTCAAAATTTGAAGTCCATTTTTTTCTCTTGTCCATGCATCTTGATGTCCAAATGATCAATTTGGGGCATCAAAACAACCTTTTCCAAAGAAATTTTTGAGGTGGGTTCGAATTTGATTGTTTAGAGCATCAGCTCTATATAAACTTTTGCCATATATATATGGAAAAAGTGATTTCATGCAACGCTTCTATACTAGTATAATGAAACAATCTTCAAGAACCATTTTAGGCCCATTTTGTTTGGCCCCAATTATTAAAATATTCACTCTTTTCATTCTAATGAACAATCACAAAAAAAGCAAGATCTGAAAACACACCCTAAAAAGTGTTATTCTAGCTCAATTAACAGAGGTCGTCCATTTAGGCTAGATGCTTTGATCTAGGCCTTAAAAGGATTTTTCCCTTTTCAAAATTTTTAGGTGACTTTATCATCCTTACATGAACAATGTTAAAACAAAAAATAATAATTTTAAATTCGTAAAGGCCTAGACCTTAGAATTCACTAAATGGATAGTCTAGATTTGTAAAGGCCAAGATTCATTTTGAGCATATCCAGGGTGCAAATTGAATTTACTTTTTTGGGCATTGATTATTGGGATGACGACAGAGTGTATGCAATTTTTGGGGTCAAACAAATCTAGAAGTGTGGTTTCATTATATTATAATGATATCATCATCCACGCTTTATCTCAACTATTCTAGGTCGGCTATATGAATCATATTCTGTCATTTTCCTCTATCAAGGGTACTACCCACACCCTAGCAAGGCCATATAACATAGGTTTAAGATTCATAAAAGGATGTAGCAAAGTTTTATGTTGGTTGCCTACCTATCAACTAACACAACCCTCCTCCTTTACGTGGGACAACATGACCGGTATGGGGCTTGCCAAGTATATATATATATATATAGGAAATGTTGGCATAGGCCAACTAGCTCACAGCTACATATGAGCCTGACGATTCAGATTCAATCTAGGCCGATCTGACAGTCATGACTGCATTTAGTATTTTAATTTTAATTTTTTGCTATAAATTCAAATCACATAAAATTTTAGGTTTCTATTATTTTCATCAAGACGCACCTCATAAAAATATTAAAAAATATAATTTGTAAAATATAAATTGACTAAAATACCCCTATAAAGTTTTAAGGTTATTATGGTCAATATATTTTTTGCAAATTATTTTTTTGATGTTTGATTAAACTCTCCCATTTTTAAAGAACGTATGACTAAAATTTCAAGTGATTTGGATTTATAGAAAAAATTAAAATTCAAATACGAAATACAATCGTGATTATTGGACCGACCCAAATTCAATCTGGGCTATTGGGCTCATATGCAGTTGTGAGCTATTGGCCTACACCAGCATTTCCCTATATATACACAAACACACATACACATGCACACACACACACACACACACACACACACAACAAAAGCATACATAAATACATCCTTACATACATAGATGATATATGTATATAGTCATGGAATCAACTAAAAAATACCAAGATCAAATATTGATTCCAATATCACTTTGGCCCAAAGAGAAAAATATATATTTCACCTAAGTTAATAAATTCAAGGTGAAACTTCAGCTGAAATAAAAAATTTGTCTAAGTGGAGGACTTAAATACAGGAAAAATGGACCAGATTCAAAGAAAATTTCAGGTCAGATTTTAGGAGAACTTCTGGACATTAGGTTCCAAAATAAATCTCATTCAATAACGCATTGCCATATCAACCAATATGCCCCTCCACACCACTGTATGCAGAAATTTACTAGCCTTAGGTGAAATTTTAGTTGGTTATATCAAAAAATGGAACATCAGAAAAAAAAAAAAATAGAAGAATAAGAATATGGCAACTTTACTAGAGCTTCACATACAATTCAAACATATATCAATCATTAACTGGCCTTAAATGTGAATCAAAATGACAATTTAGTCAAACTTTATGACACAACTAGGGTTTTCTATTTATTTATACTTATACTTGTTTTTGTAGGAGACTGAAATTGAAGGTATTTGGTCTTTTAGTATTTTGGTTTTATTAGGGTATTCATGTCTTTTTTGGTGGTGTAGAGAATTGAGAAGTAAAGTTGAAGTTTAATTTTGAGAAGAAGCCTATTTTTTTTGGAAAGGTGACAATATATTACACGGGATTGTATACAATGAGACCATTTATGTTTATTACAAGGAGGTCATAATTACTCCTACTCATTAAATGTTAAATTGGATGGCTTGGGCTAGTCAGAAAGTCTGAGAATTTTTTTTTTTGAATTTTTTGGTCTTTTCAATGACATACTTACAACCACCCAATTTGAAATCCAAGGGACAAGAGCGATTGTGACCTCTTTGTACAAAAAGCAAGTGGTCTCTTTGTATACTTTTCCATATTAGACAAAGCAATAGTTATAAGAGTTTTCACGGGGAGTGAGGGAAAAGTCGGATGCTCTTCAAGACAAACAATCCAAAGAAACACTCAGAAAATGGAGTGAAGGCTTCCAACATGTCAAGATCTAAGACACTTGGTGTTTAGAATCAAAAAGACGGGATGTAAACACAATCAAAAAATCCCAAACTAAGATATCCTAGAGGCAGAGAGGTAAAGAGTGAGCCCTGGGGGAGAAAAGAGAGAATGAGAGGGGAGACTGCGAGAGAAAGAAAGAGAAGGTTGGGGGTAGGGGTGTTGAGAAGAGAGAGCGACAGAAGAGGTGGGGGAAGAGAGGGAGAGGGGAAAAATATGGAATAGAAAATATAGGAATGAGAACAGTAAGTAACAGACAAATATGGAGAAAAGTAAGAGAAAGGAAGGAGGATAAGAGATAGAAAAGGAAACATCAAAGTGAGAACGCAAAGAGCAAAGTTCAAGTGCTTGGAGCATCACATGAGTAACCAAAGAATAGAGCATCTAATACCGCATTAGCTTCCTGTCATGATGGAAGACAAGAATTGATTTTTGTTCCTTGTGAGAAGATCATCTTAGGGTGGCCACTATTGCAAGTCTAGAAAGAGGGCCAAATCGCTCACCATCGGGGAAGGAATGGTGATTACCAAGCCTATAGAAAAGGGTATTTCCTCTTGATTTCCTTTATTTTCTAATTTTATTCTATTTTCTCCTTTTTCCTACATCAAGTGGTATCAAAGCCTCAGAAAATCATCCATCACAACGCCGCCAACGCTCGCTCTTGCAATCAAGGATATGTTGCCACAAATCATGGAGATT